AGAAGAAGAAGAAGAAGAAGAAGAAGAAGAAGAAGAAGAAGAAGAAGGAGAAGAAGAAGGAGAAGAAGAAGAGGAGAAGAGGAGGAGGAGGAGGAAGAAGAAACAGCAACGTAAGCAAACATACAGAATATGCACTGCGTGAGAATTTAGATTCATTGCTGCTTCTGGGAGAGGCCCCGCGTCAGCAACCGGAGCCTGCACCTCAGGTTAAATTTGGAGTCTTAGTTCTCTGTATTAATGCCTTAGCCCCCATACCCTCACCCTTTCTCTGCCTCTGGTGGTATCGAGAGAACTTTGCGTCCCATTAGCTTCTCGCTCCTACATCCTGCCCACGTAGAGAAGCACTTGCTTAATTCCGGGAGGTTACGTGGGCTCATGCCTACACATACAGAGAAACAAACAGTCTTAAATACTCTTAGAGAGGCGCACGGATACAAATGGACCCACACAGTCACCTCCCCAGACAAAACCACACTCGGATAGATAGACACAGAATCACTAGCACCCGCATACCCAGCAACACTCAGATACTCGCGACGCACACAGCTACAGACACGCTTAAGACACCACGAATCGGGGTTTGCGCACACACACCGCACACAGTCCCTTTGGGTGCTCATATACGGACACAAGCCACCCTATCCCCAGACCCACGAGACTCCCCAGAGGTTCAGCCTCAGCCCACCCAGGCCGCCCCTCCCTCGGAGAAGGCCTTCTTCTCTCCTCTTCCTTCTCCTCCTCCGCCTAAAGATGTACAAAACACTCCTCAGAATAAACCCAGGCTCTTTGCTCCTCCCTCCCCGCCCCCCGGCAGCCGCTCCCCCATTCATTTTCGCCCGTCGCCGGGTAAGTCCCTCCCCCAGCGTAGCCCGGCCTCCACTGCTCCCAGCCCGGAGACCGCGGCGCGCTTGGACTTCCCTCTCCATTCGCTGGCTGCCTCGCTCCCGGTCCCCACGGCTGCGAACTGATCTAGCGCGGGGGGAGGAGGAAAGCGCAGGCGAGCGAGCGAGCGAGAGAGGGAGAGAGCGAGCGAGCCAGAGAGCAAAGCGAGAGCGAGAGAGCCGGGAGGCTGAGGGAGTAGTGACCGCCTTCCGGAGCCTGGATTCATGCCTGTCCTCGGGACCAGCGAAGGGGACTTTAAGGCTGAGTATGAGCCAGGCTGCTAGGAGCCAGGTACCCCCACGCCTGCAGTCCCCGCGCCGTTCCCGGTATGCGAGCTGGACGCCGGGTTCTCCCAAGTTCCCACCGAGCCGAATAAAAAGCGTCCTCCCGCAGCTCTCCGCCAAAGACGGACATTGACTCCAGGTAAGGCGGCGCCAGGCACAGCGCCCGGCAGCCCGGCTGCCCTTGGAGACCGCCCGGACCGCATTCGGGGCGCCCCCGCCCTCCCTGCCCCTCCCCCTCCCGGCACCCTTCGGGTCTTCCGTCGGTCGCCCCGCCGCCTCCAAGTCCTCTCAGGTTCCCGGGAGGGGGGGGGCTCTGTATTCTGGGGCTCCAAGGGTTAAATGCGGGTTTTAGTAAGTGGCGTGTGTGCTCCCCGCGCGCTCCCGACGTGTGTACCATGGTGGGAACTTGATGTGGTGCTAGTGTGTGTTTGCGTGTGCAGCGTCGTTTGCGTTTGATGCGTGTGTTTGTGCTGTGTATGTGTGCAGGGGAGGGGGTAAAGAGAGGTCCTATAACCTACTTATGGCGCGATGTGTGTGTGCATGCTTGTACGTATGTGTTTGTATGTGTGCGCTTGTGTGTCTTCTTAATTAGGTCTCTCCAGCTTACATGGAATGGGATCCTTACTATAGGATCACGTAGCCATCGGGAAACCCGCTGTGGACTTCCTCTCCGCGCTCTAGGCTTGGGGTTTGGGGAGCATTCTAGGGATAAGGATGGCACCTTATTTAGCCCAATATTGGTACCCTTGAAGGAAAATTCCTCCAAACCACGGAGACCTGGTATACTTGGACTCACCCTTTAATGTGAAAGAGAAATGGTCAAACCCCGAGGCAATGACATACTGTCACTTTAAATTCTACACTGGGCAGGCTCCAGGATTCTGATGGGAATTTGGAGTCACTGGGTAGTGGGTGACAGAGAAAGGGAGAAGTCAGCGGTGGGCTCCTTGTGTGAGGCTGGGCGAGTCTGGGATAGAGTCTACCCTACCTCTCCGTTTGCCATCATAAGAGCGGAAGAGCACCTCCAGCTACTGGTGCTTTTGGGGAGGACCTGGGCAAGTTTGCATGGATCCCCCTAATGGGAAAGGAGAAGAGTCCTCAGGGACCTGCTCATCCATCATAGTTACACAGGATCTTAGAGAAAAATTCAACTGGGGGCAGCTCTGGGTAATATGGAAGGAGATGGATGGGGCACTTCCCTAAGACATTCCTCCTTCCCTACCCTATTTCAGAGAAGCTTGGGAAGCCCCAGGAGAATCTGTTCTTAAACTGTGCCTCCTCATGGCTCTACTAGAGTTAGGAGGAAAATGGGAGAACAGAGAGATTGTGTGTGTGTGTGTGTCTGTGTGTGCGGGTTTCGGTACTGAGGGAGATCTACAAGGGTGGTGGGTGGGGAACTCATGGCAGAATGTGGCGGTAATTGACTTAAACTGCTGTTGATTTGCACCTCACATCTCTTGCTTGGCTCCAAAATACTGCCAAGGGCACAGGGTCCATGTGGAGAATGTCAGTAAGGAAGACAGTTTGAGTCAAGTCCCTCTTTCCTCTTTCCTCCACCTCCTAGGAGGTTCTCCTGGTAAGTCCCTGGGCTACCCTGGCTAGGTCCTGCTAGGTTTGGACTCTGGGGCCAGCCATTGATTCGATTCCCGGATGCCTCTTAAAGGCTTGCCCTACTCAGCAAAAAATGCTGAGTTTTACTGCTGTTAGCATGGCTTCCAGACTCAGCAGCTGTTACTTTCCCAAGGTAAGAAGAGGCAGCCGTTCTGCCGTCAGGCACGGAGGCTGGTGGAGGACAAGGGCTGAGATGCTGGGACAGCCTGTCATGCACCCTGGCTGGCAAGGAGCCACCGAAAAGACCTTTTGGGAAAAAGAAAAGTAGAAATATAATTGTATTTTTATAAAATATATGTGTGTGTCTGTGTGTGTGCATGTGTGCATGCGCATGTGTGCCCGTGCGTGCGTATGTGTGTGTGTCTTCTGGAGAGAGATAAAAGCAAACATGTGTTTGCAAGGACCTGCCCTGGCGGGTGGGTGATGATGTTACCTGCAGACACTCGCAGACACATGAGTCTCAGGCCAGAGGCTGATACCTCAGACTGCAGCCTTCACAGGGCCACAAGGAATCTGCTTCGAGAAACTCATGTCAGAGCAGAGCTCCCTGGTGCATTTTTGGTGGGGGTGGATGGGGGATGGTGAAATCAGAGGAGGAGACCCTGTGATCGGAACTGCTCTCGTTTTATCTCTTTTCCAATTCGTAGACAATTGAAGCTGGTTATTGAAGAACAGACAGGCAGGACTCTGTGGCCCAGAGAAGGGGAAGAATTCCATAACATTCCCTAGCAAGTTCATGGTATGCCCAGGCTAGAACCTGTGCTGCCTGACACCCCGATCAATGTCCTTTCCACTCCACCTCACTGCCCAGGGACCATGTGGCTCCCTATTCCCATCCAGCCACTTTGCTCCCACTTCAAACAATCGCTGTCGTCCCTCATCAGACATCCCATTTCAGAGCTGCTCCATCTGGAAACACGACCCCGGAGAGAAAGGGTTCAATACTTTAATCAGTGTCCCCACTAGACAGACAGACAGATACACACACACACAAACACACAGAGAATACACACAGGCAAAGACCCCCTACGGACTCTGACTAGGAGACAGAGCCCAGCAGAACATCTGGACTCTACCCGAGCTCTTTATTAAGGAATACTTTGCCTTCCAGAGAGCCAAGTGTATGCCCATCTACCGATGCAAATACTTCAGGCAAATTAATTTCTTCATATTCATGAGACTCTTGCCCTGTACAGTGATACATCCCGCGGTCACGGGAGCATGCCCAAGCACACATGTACACATGCACTCACACACATGTGCACACAGAGATTTAGAAACCCTCCCTACTTGCCATATTCCCCAAAAGGGAATTTCAACCTCCGCACCAAATTGTGTTCCCCTATATAAAGGCATCACCCACACGCGAAGACTGGGACTCATCATTCTAGGGAAGGGGAGAGAGAAAGCCCTGTGAGGCATGGGCTCTAGAGAAGTCAGAACCAAGCCCACGTAAAAGTGTTCCCAGACTCCCTGATGCTCATTTCGGGGTGCCGGCGAGCACTGAGGAAAAAAACATGGGGGTTTCAGGCCTATCTGCAATAGAGCCTTTCCACGCAGGCTGTTCCGAGGCTGGATGGCACTTTAGCTCCCAGAAGGGGGAGCTGTGACTCCATTTCAACCAAGGAGAACAGGCTCAGAGATTCCAAATCAGCTGTTGGGCCCCCGTTGAGTTTCCATGGCCCAGCTCAGGCTGCAGTGAATGTATCTGGAATGGTGCAGGTGGGGACTTTATAAACCCCTCTCCCCTGGCCAGTCCAAATAAAATGCCCGGGTGCTTGCAAGAGTTTATGCTCTTGACCCCTAAGTCTTACGTTTCTCTGGAAAGTCTTTGCCCATGGCACCTTTGGTTGTGTGAGGAGACATCCTGATTGACATCCTCTAGCTTGTTCCCTCCCAGTTCCTTAGATGAAATCACCAGGATATAGCACCTGAACAGGCCTCTAAGGTTAGACATAACCTGCCCTTCTCTCCCTGTGTTCCCTTTGCTAAAATTCAAAGATTAACGAATCGGTCACTGAACTTCTGATAATCATATTAAAGACAAAATGGGGGTCAGGTGAAAAGGACAGATTTTCAAATGTCATTCTCCAAATAATCCCCCTTGATGTTTTCTATTCTAACCCCTTCTGCAAGGAGTACCTTTCTCCTTTCTCTCTCTCTCTCAGCATCAGCTTCTACTTTTAAAAATCTCACTGGTATTTTAACATCCAACCCAAATGACCCTTCCAAGAAGTCTTCCCAAAATCTTATTTGGGAATAAATCTCTTTCTCCTCTGTTCTCTCATATAATTTTGTCTGAGACTTTTATTTTAGCTTGGGTCTCTGTTTGCCCTATTTTATAGCTCCACGGATATATGCATGGCTTGCCCTCTTCAATATGGTCTTGGTAAGAGCATTTTTTTTTTTTTAATCTTCAGGGACTGACACATAGTAGTTGCTCTATGAATGTTTGCTGTTGCATTTTGAGTCCAGTCTCCATAACAGCTGTCATGTCTCTCTCTCTCTCTCTCTCTCTCACTCTTTCTCCTTCCAATAATTGTTTCAAGTTCATGCAAAACAATACAATCATGCCGCCTATACCATCAATATAGGAATGTCAATGATGATACAGATGGGTGGAATTAAGCCCTACTTGGAAGTGAACTTTGCCCTACTATGTTCCAGGGTCTTTAGTTTTCTTCTCATTTAATCTTACTTTCCACCCAGTGGGGCAGATAGAAGAAGAAGTCCTTTCATAGAAGAAGAAAATGAAACTCATGTTGGCTGGGTCCCTTGCCCAAGTTCACGTGACCAGCACAACTAGACTTAGAACCTAACTCCCCCTTTCTTCAACATTTCTGCTCTTTCTGGTGGACCACTGTGTTAATGGTAACCACTGTGGATGACCAACGGGACTGGGTTGTTCAGCGGATTTTAGTATAGCTCAGGGCACAGTATTAACTCTTTGAAATCGATGTTCTGAAGGAGTCATGGAGCCATTTGATCAAAGAATCTCAGTGTTTTAAGGTTTCTCATTAACTAGACCCTTTTCCTTATTTGAGAACTATGAATCCTTTCTGTGATATTCATAACCCACTCAGTCTAATCTTTAGTACTTTTATTAACAGCGAAGTCATTATCACACAAACCAGCCTATGCTGTAGAGGGAGAGTTTTGTTGGACGTTTTCTCACTGTGACCCTATATCTGCCTTTTGTCCATAAGTCTCTGAAATCATACAACACAAATATAATTCTCTTCTAATTGTCAGTTCTTCCCATATTGTGGAAGCATAATCATATGATCACTAGTATTCTCCTTCTGGAGGCCCTATTGCCACAGCCCTGTGTCCTGTAACACTTGTTTGGGTCCCTCACCAAGCTGGTTTTTGATCTCTGGGCAGTCTCTGGGCATTCTCTAGTTGATCACACTTAGAGGGTTTAAATGCCACAAAAGGGGGATGGTTACCTACAATTGAGTAAGGTTTAAAAGGGGAATTGATTCATCCATTTATTCAACAAATGTTAATTAGGTGACGACTATTTTT